GGGGGATTGGGGGAAGGTGAAATGAGGGAGGGAGGGAAAATCGCCGGGCGGCCGGATACGCATAGACTAGGCTCACATACGGTTTGGTTTGACTGGCGCGCATGCATTGCAATCATCGGATGCATCGAGAGGAGACAGAGAGAGACAGAGCCAGAGACAGAGAGGGGGACGAGCTACTGTGTAAGTATGCAGTATGTATGCAGTCAGTATGCAGCCATGCATTCATTCGCTCTCTCGCTCGGCAGCTCGGCATGTGGGTGCTGTGGTGTGTTGTCGAAAAACCACTCACATACATACATCAAACGCAGACTAGAGACAGACTGACTGACTGAGGGAGAGAGGGAGGGAGGGAGGGAGGCAGGAAAGAACAAGGAGGAGACAGCGGAGAGAAAACTCCACCAGACCCTCTCTCTCTCTCTCTCTCACCATGTACACACACAGACACACAAAGACAGACAGACAGACAGATCGGCACGCAGTTGTCGCGATCGATGTGTGGACGGGTCCCCTTATTAATTCGCTGCCTACAGATGAGAGTGGGGGGGATTGGGGGAAGGTGAAATGAGGGAGGGAGGGAAAATCGCCGGGCGGCCGGATACGCATAGACTAGGCTCACATACGGTTTGGTTTGACTGGCGCGCATGCATTGCAATCATCGGATGCATCGAGAGGAGACAGAGAGAGACAGAGCCAGAGACAGAGAGGGGGACGAGCTACTGTGTAAGTATGCAGTATGTATGCAGTCAGTATGCAGCCATGCATTCATTCGCTCTCTCGCTCGGCAGCTCGGCATGTGGGTGCTGTGGTGTGTTGTCGAAAAACCACTCACATACATACATCAAACGCAGACTAGAGACAGACTGACTGACTGAGGGAGAGAGGGAGGGAGGGAGGGAGGCAGGAAAGAACAAGGAGGAGACAGCGGAGAGAAAACTCCACCAGACCCTCTCTCTCTCTCTCTCTCACCATGTACACACACAGACACACAAAGACAGACAGACAGACAGATCGGCACGCAGTTGTCGCGATCGATGTGTGGACGGGTCCCCTTATTAATTCGCTGCCTACAGATGAGAGTGACCCCCACCCCCCCCCCACCACCACCAC